ATACTCTGTTCCACCCGTTCTCATTCTCCTCCTCTCCCCGGGCTGCTTCTTCCTCCCGCGCGCTTGCATCAATCATCTCCTGGGCACACTCCACAAAACTCTTGTCTCTAGGTAGTCCATCCCTCTTTCCCGTATCTCTACCCAGCTGAACTTTAAGGATGGTTGACAAGAACGCCATCCTTGCTCCTGTTTCCGCCGTATCAGCTACTTCCCTCGTCTTCTCAGTTACGTTAATTAATCGTGCCAACAGGTTTGCGGCATATTGTCTGTTGGTCTGATAAGGCTGTTTCCTCTCCCGAAACATCTGCAAGATGTCCTCTTCTGGAGCCCAGCGGCCTCCTCCAAATGCCTTCTTCAGCCTATCCTTCACGGTGTTCCATGGGGTGTCTTCATCCGCCTGAATCATATTCAACACGCTCCTCTTAACCCGGCATACCAACGCTGCCCTCAATGCGTTGGCATCCAGCGGATCTATTAAGTTCTCCTCTTCTTAAGCCAATATACGCTATATCACCCGATCGCGTCCCTTTAGAAAGTGATTCAACTCACCTACTCCTCCATCGAATCTTTCCAAATCGGATATCGCTCTCCTCAGGTCCTGCGATGTCGCCGTTCTCACCTTCAGCCATTCCAACATCGTCGCATGTGCTGATGCTAATGTTTCAGTAGGTAGCGGAGGAAAATCCCTCGCTAATGCTTCTGACAACGCTGAGAAAACGCAACGGAGGAAACGCTGGCGGTGGCCGGTGGCGCAGTCGGCTGTGCTACCTGTGGTGTAGGCGGTACTGGCGGTTGACCTACTCCGTTCGGCATCCTTTCTTTTAATTATTTTCAAGACGTGAAAAAAAAAGAAAAAAAAAACTAACTCCACAATTAAATTAAAACCTCCCGGGTTTCGGCACCACTTACGTCAGTTTGAACAAGAAAAGATAAAAAAAAGAAAGAAAAGGTCCGAAATAAAACACGTGGTTGCTCAAATAAGACTGACTTTATTCTCTCCGTAATGCTATATATATATATATAGCATTACGGTTTGTTTACAACTGTTGAATAGGATTAAATAATATATCAACTTACATCTAACCATAACATATATATATATATATATATATATATATATATATATATATATATATATATATATATATATATATATATATATATATATATATATATATATATATATATATACTTATATATATATATATACTTATATATATATATATATATATATATATATATATATATATATATATATATATATATATATATATATATATATATATATATATATATATTCATATATATATACATATATGAAAGGAAAAAAAAACCCATCACCCATCCAAGTACTAACCACCCTCGACGTTGCTTAACTTTGATTATCTATTGCAAGCGCCTTAGCCCGTACGGCAACCCCAGGCTCCATATATATATATATATATATATATATATATAGAAAATAAACTTTATTCTGCGACGATATCCCCTTAGAATAACAATAATGTACAGTTACAAAAGAAAAATAATACACATCTGGCCAAAAACTAACTCACTAAATATTCAAACAATATATACAACAACTTAAATAATAGTATGTAAATTACTAAAAAATAAAATAAAATCTTCTCAACAATATTTTTAATTTTACTAGAAAAAATAACAAAAAGAAAAGAAAAAAAACAAAACAAAAAATTTCATGTATAGAAAGAAAAAGGATTAGAAAGATATATATGTATACAAATTGAGGAATGTAAGAAATGATATACATCTAAAATATAAACAATCTTGTAGATATAAAAAAGTAAAAGTAAATAACAAACAATCTCTTACTTTTTATGCATCACCTCACAGTGCTATACCAAAAGTGATACAGAACTTTCCAGTTCACAAATAATAAACAAAAAGTAAAATAAAATAGTGGTGCATGAAAAAAAAAATATCCTTGTTGCATGATACATAATTAACCAGCGTCTGATTGGGTTGTGAAGAAGAGGGTTTTGAATGTGGATAAGGATGGTGCTTGGCGGATTTTAAGTGGGATTGAATTCCAAAAGGAGGAGGAGCGGACAATAAAGGAATGTTGAAATGAAGCATATCTATGGAAAGAGGTGTAAAGGTCAGAAGACCAAAATCTTGTGGAGAGGGAGTGGACAGATGATTTAAATTGGTGGAGATTGTATACATAGGACGGGCGATAGTTGTTGATTATTTGATAAAGGAATGGTTATTGGTGATGGGATGGTTATTTAGATACAGAATAGGAATGTTGCTATTGGATTTGGAACCAATGACAATAGACTGCGTTATATCTTAATCCATTGATGTATGGCCAGTCGCTAATCCAATTTAGATCTTCGTGGATTTTGGCAAACGCATCATACAACTCTGAGGGAGGGGAGGAAAGGCAACTATGGGAATCATCGGCATAGAGGTGATAGAACAGCGGAGGATTGATTTATGGAGGTCGTTGATATAGGAACTAAAAAGAATAGGAGATATACTAGCGCCCTGGCCACTCCTGAAGATAGAGTAAGATAGGAAGACAAGAGTTGATTAGGAATAGCGACAGCTTGGGAACGTTGAGAGAGGAAAGACTGAGGAAACCAAAGAGTAGCGCTGTTGGAAAATGATAATGATTTAAATTTGGAGAAGAGGATGGTATCAAAGGCTTTGGAAAAGTCTAGGAGTACAAATACAGTTAGTTTTTTCTCATCTATAGCTGACTGAATATCACTAATGATTTTAATTATGGCGGATTGTGTGGAGTAACCTGGACGAAAACCAGATTGGAAAGGATCGAGTTGATTGGAATGTTCAAGGAAATTGGAAACTTGGGATTGCACTGTTCTTTCAAGGGGTTTTGAAAGGTTGGAAAGGATTGAAATTGGACGGAAATGTTTAGGAGAAGAAGGGTTAGGATTTTTGTTTAAAGGACTAACGGTGGCTTCCTTCCATGAGGTAGGAAATACTGAGTTTTGAAGGGAGAAATTATGTACGAATAGGAGAACAGGAAGGATTTCGGGAAGGCATAGTTTGATTAATTTGGCCGGAATGCCATCTGAACCAATAGAATTGGAATGTGATTTCATCGGTGGATATGATGTCTGCGGGCAAGATGTAAGGATGTACCAGGAGTAGAGAAGGAAGCATTAAAAGGAGGAGTGGAAGAGGAAGTAGTTATAAAATATGAGTTTAAATCATCTGGTGAAATTGGAAATACTGCTGAGGGAGAGGATCTGGAAGATCCACAAAGGGTGAGTTTACGAAGGAGTAGCCATTTGGATTTGGATTCGGGAGCTGATGAAGGGGCTTCATGGAAATAGATCGATTTTGCTCGTTGGATTGTGGTTTGTACCAGATTGCGGAGCACCCTAAATGCTTGATAGTCGTCGGCCAGCCTAGTACGTCTAAACGTCTACTGGCAGCATCACGACTCTTCTGGATATCCTTAATTTGCTGACACATCCAGGGAGCGGGACGGCAATGAAAGGTAGAGTTTTTGAGAGGAGCATAGATTCAAGGATATTAAGAAGATTGGAGATGAGGATATCCACCATGGCATCAATTGTGGATCAGGAATATTATCTACTCCAATCTTTTGTTTCCAGACAGGATAAGATTTTTCTCGAGTTAAGTTATCAAGGTTATGGAATTTTATTGTCTAGGAAGGACTGGAGGAGTTTGGGTATTGTATGTTATTTGGATCAGATCATGCGACGATAGGAAGGAGACTGGTAATTGGTAAGAAGAAAACAGGCTCTGAGCAGAGTCAATAATATACAGGTCGAACCAAGTGTCGGATCTACCGGTGTGATGAGTGGCAGAAAAAGGAACGATAAATAGGTGAAGAGAGAAAAAAATGTTTTCGAGATATAATTTTTCGCTGGAGTCGGAAAGGAGATTAGTGTCACCGGAAATAATAATTTTAGAATAGAGATTAACAAAGTTGAAGAGGAATGATTTGAAGGATGGATCAAATGGAACAAGAGGTGGACGATATACTACGATATAGAGGACAGAATCCGCTCTGAGACTGCTTTTCTGGAACTTTGGTTTTTAATATATATTGTATATATATATATATATATATATATATATATATATATATATATATATATATATATTTTATGTGTTTAATTGTTTTTTTCATTTTATGTATTGTAAATATGGTATGAATGTGCCTTGCAGCTCTAATACTCAGTACCCTTAAGTGTAGTAAAATATATTACACCTCAATAAAAAGATATAAAATAAAAAATGTTTCAAATCTTCTGGGAAAGAGCTGAGAATTGGTGAACAAAAACTACACTTTTGAAACAAGAGACCCGGTTCTGTAAAATCATACTTCTGAGAGCATTGGAAATTTTAGGAATAATAGTAGGTGAAAACAGTGTTTAAAAACCAAGGTTATAGGAAAGCGGTCTCTGAGGGAGACCATGAAAAAATAAGCCCTTAGGTGAGAGCCTGAGTAACATTTAGAATTTCGCTGGATACTATAGAGCAGAAGGTTTGAAGGACGGTTTGTAACTACAGTACCAGATAGAGATGTTGATAGAATAGTACTGAAGATCGGTACTTATATGCAAAGTACTATCATGGATATACTCATATAAGCACATTCCATAATATCCATGTTAGTTCTTTTCATGTATTTTTGTACATTGTATTTTTGCAACCATACATAAAATAAAAGTAATTAAATGTAATCAGCTTTCGTTTTCAAAATATTTAATAAACAAAAGTAAATTTCCAGATCTGCGTAGAGTGAAATTTTGGAGTCTGATTTTAGATTTTTCCCCTCTTACTTTTACACAGTCACATTAATTATATCCATATTGCATTTGAGCTTGTTGTGCTAGTTATATCATATTACATAATTGGCATATAACTGCATAGAATATATAATAAAAGTTAAATAATTTAAATTTATGTATTCAATTCATTGATCAGATCGGTTCATTATTTTAAATTTCTCGCAATGAAGTATTGTTACTAACCTTGATCAGACTTTCCATCATAATTTTCTGTGGAAGAGATCACCAGACTTTGTATTTTGGGCTTTTTTGTAAAATTTTGTGGATTAAGGAACCATCTCCTTCCTAATAGCGACCATACTGATCTGTTACGGCTCATGTTACCTGAAATGGATTTTTTTGTTATCAAATGTTGATTTGTTATCAGTCATATATTTTTCTTAACGACTAGAAACATTTAAAAGTGAAAATAATAAAATGAGAATTAGATTTCGCATTCACACATAGACGTAATGGATGACAATGGATATAATAATAATTGATTAATAAGAATGCCCACGGAGTATTTAACGCTTAGATTATACTAAATATATAGGTTTATTTGTATCCCAATGATTATTTTATTTTTTGAATGTTTTATTATATAAATTATAAGTGAAGATTATACTTTGGAGAAAGTCCATAGAAATCGAACTACTTACTTATCACGTCTTTAATGGAAACATCTGTGGCCGGTTTCATGCACTTTTTCTTAGACCAATATTTCGAACTCTTCGTGTCATTCATATTTTCTTCGCAATGCATCTCATTATTTACGCTCATGTTAGAATAAGAGCTCACCACTAAAACAAAATAATTGTTTTTTAATAAACGATTATGTATAATAGAATATAGCTGTGGATTAAAATGTATTATAACATTGTAATTTTTCGATTAACCAGCATTTCGTTCCAAGCTCTCCAAATCTCACAACGTCGTGTATTTTTTTCTATCTGCTGCGTTTTTATAGCCGATAAATCTTCAAGATTTCCGCTTTTTAGCTAAATCTTCGAATCAATCATAAAACAAGTATGACCATTCATTCTAACTTTTTTGCTTCAAATTTGTCACTTTTGATATCTTTTGTATTTTATAACGCAATAAACTTTTAATAAGCATTATAAGAAATATAAGAACAATTATTATAACAAAACACAGTCCCTTGCATTAGATACCAACTCCCCTCCTTAATGCATTCGAATTATGGATGAAGTTGTGGGAATATGTTTGTTTCTTTAAATAATATAATGCCATCAGGAAACTATCTCTCCATCTCTCTCTCCATCTCTCTCTCCATCTCTCTCTCTCTCTCTCTCTCTCTCTCTCTCTCTCTCTCTCTCTCTCTCTCTCTCTCACACACTTTTTTTTTTTTTTTTTTGTCTTCTTTCCCCCCGCTGTACCTTAGGGCAACCCTATACCAGCGGTACATCCAATTTTCTAACTGAAAAATATGCCACGAATTTAAAGGGCTCGGTCACCAGGATTGGTAACCAAGCGGGCAGGTCTGCTCTCACTTTGATCCAAATTCTTGGGTCAAAGTGAGGCAAAATTCGGTCTTTTAGTTTGATTGGGGCATTAATTATTACGGGTAAACCTACACTAATGGGCTGCCTGCAACTGGAGGGCTGTTCCCACCAAACAGGACTCCAGTAACTTCCTACCTACTTATTGTGGGCCTATTACTAAGTTTATATATACTATTTCTAAATCTTATGATAACAATAAATGTATGTATTTGGTATATCACCGGTTTATTCTTTCCTCTCTTGCTATTTTTTCATGGAATATCCTCCTGGCGTATTTCTTAAAGGCATCAAATATCTCAGGTGTCTCCACAAGCTTGTCCAGAGACCGAGGAGGCCATTCCAACATGGAGTACTCTCCTGCCAATGCTTGTCGGGCGCCAGTGTACATTGGACATTCCAAAATTATGTGTCTAGCGTCCTCAACAGCCCCGCAGTGACAATTCGGACTGGCTCTTCTATGAAAAAAATGTAATTTTTCATTTATGTCTCCATGGCCTGTGAGGAGTTGAACTGTCCAGAAATCCGTCTCCACCCAGTCATTCTTGATTCTTCTCCTGACATCTGGGAAGAACTCATGGGTCAGTCTTCCAGTCTCGCATGCATCCCACCTTCTCTGCCATTCAGAAAGGACTAGTTCTTCTATTCTGTTGGCCACCTCGTCGTACCTTCCACTAGGGCACACAAAACAGCTTGTTCCCACATTTGCTGGCACTCCTCTCTTTATTCTATATTTGGCTATAGATATTTGTATTTTCAGGTCTATAGGCAATTGTCCTGTAATTACTTGCAAAGCCGAAGTGGGTGCCGTTCTGTACGCTCCTGTCACCAGTAGGAGAGATCTTCTTTGAGCTTGCTCCAGCACACTGATGTCTGACTGTCTCAGTTTCTGGCCCCAGACCGGCGCCGCATATAATGCAATAGGCAAGAAAGAAGCCTTATATAGGGTTTCCCGGTAACCATATTTGAGACCCCAGGTGGTCCCTGCCATCGTTTTAAGGCAACTGTAACGGACAATAGTTTTGCTCTTAATTTCTTTTAGGTGGTTAGTGAAGTTACACCTCTCGCCCAATAGGACTCCTAAGAACTTCACTTCCTGAGATGGTTTTATTAGGACATCTCCTAACTTTACTCTGGGGAGAAACCCTACCATTTTTCCCTTCAAAAACAGGAGTCGAGTCTTCTGAAAATTTAAAGAGAGTTTATTTTCCTGGCACCATTGCAAGATTATGTCAGTGACTTCCGCTGCCCTTATTTACAAATCTTGTCGTGATTTTGCCTCTATTCCAACAGCAAAGTCGTCCACGTAAGCAGATGGCGTATACCCGGCAGCTCTCAATTTAACAAGGAGAGGGTTCATGTTGATATTCCATAGGGGGAGTCCCAGAACTGATCCCTGAGCACAACCCCTCTGGACTGGCCTCGTTATTCTCCTTCCCGGAAGTTGATAGTAGACAGAGCGCCTCGATAAAAATGATAATATGAGCCTGTATATATTTCTGGGGCATTTTAGTTTCTTTAGCTCGTCCATAATAGTAGGCCACCACATATTATCGAACGCGCCAGCAACATCATAGAAGAGGACTACAAAATATTTATAGGGCGAGTCCTTAACTGTTGATATGAGCTGGTTGATGGCATCCGTTGTTGACTGTCCTTTTCGATCTCCGAATTGATCAGGAGAGAGCAAATCGGTTACGTCTTTTAGGGGTTGCAGCATTAGGCTTTCCAGAACTTTCCCCATTACATTTAGGAGGCATATTGGGCGGTAAGATTTAGCAGTGACTTCTGTTATACCGGGCTTCAAGATAGTAACCAGCTCAGCCTGTTTCCAGATACAGGGGAAAATGGCTCCATTCAAGCATCGGTTGTAGAACGTAGTTAAAGGCTTAATCAGTGTGTTTTTTGTATTTCTAAGGATATCAGCTCCTATCATATCCGGTCCTGGTGCCTTTCCCCATCGGAGTTGTCCTATAGCCAACATTGCAATTCTTTTGTGAGCATGGTCTTCTGTGTCTGAAGTTAGTTCGTCTTCAGGGAAAGATCTCACCATTATAGCATTAACAACCTCATCTGCCGTTCTGGTTGCATCCCCATTATGCATAAACGATGTGAAGGAGTTTCTATTTGAGATTTTATCAAGGGCTCTCCGATAGGCTAGTCCCCAAGGGCTTTTACATTGGTCTAGGTATCGGTGCCATGTCTCTTTCTTTGCTTTTCCTATTGCCTTTTGGAAACTCTTATTAAGTTCGTAATATGCTTTTTTGACATTTCTTTTGGTAACAGCATCGTTTTCTCGCTGAAATCGGCGTCTTGCTCTGTAGGTCTCCCGCTTCAGGCTTGTGAGTTGTGTGTTCCACCATACTTGTCCATTTTTTATTGACTCTCGTGTTATGGGCAACACCTCCTTAACCGCTGTGAAAATTTCTGTTGAAATTTTCGCTGCCTCTTTTTCTAATTCCATATGATGGTGTTGCTCCAGCTCTGTTAGGTGCCATGCAATATTCTCAGCAACACGCTCCCACTCAGCTCCCTCCGTCACAAAACGTTCCTTATGGTATCGCTTTTCTCGATTGTTTAGGTTTATTTCAAATAAAACCACCCGGTGATCACTGCAGGTCCAATCCTCGACTTTCCAAAAGCTAATAAGCTAGCCAATGCCAGGTGATGCCAGAGTTATATCGATAAATGATTCTCCGCTGGATCCCGAAAACGTTGGCTAGGCCGTGGGATCATTTACAATGGTTAGGCCATTCCTTGCAGCAAAATCCTCCAGCAGTACGCCTTTTCTATCGGTTCTTCGGCTGCCCCACAAAATTGAGTGAGCATTAAAATCGCCCATTATTAAGATGTTCTTACTCAGCTTCCGTACTACCAGCTGCAATTTTGTCAGTATGTCTTCCAGTGGGAGTGCGAATTTTGCATAAACATTGATCAAGTCAAAGTTAGTGCCTACGTAATCTACATTGGCAACTGAAATAAATCTATCTTCCAGATCAGGCTGAGATGTAATTGTAAGGCAATGATTAAACACCACCACTGCACTCTGTGGTGCATCGTGTAACCCACTTCCATTGCTAGCAATGGTGCGGTCTTGCGGTTCAGTTCCAGACACCTTCCCTCTCTTAGTAGGAGGTTCCTGAAGAGCACCAATATCTATGTTATTTAGTGAGGCCATGCGTCTAAATTCTGACATTGCAAGCGGTCTCTTGTTTAGATTGTGTTGGGCTATCCGGAGGGCAGAATTATTATTCATTGTCGTTATATTTTGTCCTCATTACTAACCTTTCAATTGCTCTTTTGTATGATGGGTAGTCTTTGTCATTTGTCGGATGGTTAGATGCTGAGTTGGTTTTACTGCAGTTTATGCATTTCGGCGGTCCGCCGGTCTTTTGTTTTGGGCAGTCTCCTGAAACATGTCCTCTTTCGCCACAGTAGCCGCAGTTTACGACAGTTGCGGGGCAGAATTTTTCTATATGTGAAAAACCCTGGCATTTATTGCATCGTGTCACTGCCACCCAGTATCTCACATTGCAGGATGACCAATCCAGGAAAACTCTTCCCTCTGCCAATATTTCATTTCTCACCGCCGGGGACGTTATCCTCTCTCTCTCTCTCTCTCTCTCTCTCTCTCTCTCTCTCTCTCTCTCTCTCTCTCTCTCTCTCTCTCTCTCTCTCTCTCTCTCTCTCTCTCTCTCTCTCTCTCTCTCTCTCTCTCTCTCTCTCTCTCTCTCTCTCTCTCTCTCTCTCTCTCTCTCTCTCTCTCTCTCTCTCACTCTCTCTCTCTCTCTCTCTTTCTTTGTTTGTGGGAATGTTGAATAGTAGGTTTTTGAAACCCAACTTATCCTATCTCGCATCGCCAACAAATCATCGGTGTTTGAGATCACATAAACTTTTTTAGAGAACACCAACGTCGAATACTATTGGGTTAATACAATATTTCATAGTATATGTTCACGTTTTTCAGATAAATGTGCGAAAATAACAATTACATAGATGTTAGAGTTCTTGAAAGTTGGTGATAAAGAAACAGAAACACAATGTAAACAAAACTTTACTTCTAAAATTTACTAATTAATTAAAATTTACTTCTAAATAATCCAATCATAACTCATTAATTAATGACTTTAATTAACAGATGAAAAAGTGATTAAGAAGGTTACAAAAAAAAAAAAGTGTTGTCAGGTAGATTTCAACAATATTGATTGGTGATAGCCATTGTTAATAACCCATGCGGCATTGGTCTCCAACAGTAGCTTTCTTTATTAGTCTAATCAATAAAATAATTTAGGAAGCAAGAATGGCAAAATCATCGCGTATAGACCCTTATAAATTACTTTTATATTACTGTATTGAAAAAGAATGTAATAACAGAAAAAAAAATTCTAAAGGAAGGTTTAATGTTTTCTGTCTTTGCTTATATAATAGTTCGCATAAATATTAATTACAATGTTGCATGAATGAAGAGCAATTAGTTCTATCATTATTGCCCAAATAGCAGAAGATTGTATTATTTTTCATTGAAAACTATTAACAATTCAAATATAATTTACATTATGGTATAGATTAAAATATGGATTATACTTACGTTTATTAGTGATGTTTCCTAATACGTTGCCTCTGTCTCCCTTAATATCATCTACGATTATTCTCATCCACGGCATCCCTACAGCATCTCTTACACTTAAGAGGTCAGAAAATACTGAAAAAAAATGTTTATCAGTAAAAATAACTCCGATGAAAAATAGCTTTTGAGGGAGGGCTTCAGCCCGAAAGTATCATTATACCTATATAGTGTGAATGTTATCCTACCTCACTATAACTAGTGTCCATGTGACAGATTGTTGTAATACTAAAAAACAATTTTATTATACCTATTCGAAATATCTCAATTGGACGCTAACTAAATACCCTGTTCTGCGCATGTGTTAACCTTACACATACACTCTTTATTTCGTCTATTATAAAGTGACTTTATTGCCAGTGAAATAATTCATTTTATATCTGAAAAAGTAGTGTAAACTGTTAAGTTAACAATTAAGTTGAAACTGGAGATAAATAAGGTGAGTAATCACTTATTTATAACGGCATTGTAAACAGTGTAAATAGACCTGAGGTTAGTGATAGATAACAAGCCAGCCATATACATTCGCTAATCCGACCAGTGGGCTGCTGCCCTTGGGCTGAAGCACGTCTATGTTACGGAGACTTCTACAAACTCGCGTAATATATACCTAATTGATAAAGGACATTTTTTTGCAATTATTACATTTACCTCTAATTAAATTAATTTGAGATGCGCTATTTTCACATGGTAATGTCGAGCAAAGGTAACAATCCAACTTTAAGATCTAGGAGTCTCGATACCACAAAGAGTTCACCAATCAAGAAAATGGCTAGAAAGGGCTCTAAGAAAAATACCCCGCCAGCTACACCAGAGAGCTCAGTAGACGAAATCGAAAATCAACCTGACACATCAACACAAAATATGTCAACACAAGCTATACCAATACAAGGTACGTTAGAAGAATCGCCCTTCTTTACAGCTAATCCTTTTCAAGTGCTGTCAAACACACAGAATGAACAAATGGAAGAAGTACCCATCCCTAGTGAACCTAAACCTTCACCAATATTCCTTAGAAATATAAAAAAATTTCAATTAATGTGTCTACAATTAAATAATATAGTGGGCTCAGGTAAATACTTATGCCAAAGCCGCAAAACGAAATTAATGCCTGACATACCAGATACGTGCAGAAAAATTGTCAAGTATTTATCTGACACTAAGGTGGATTATCATACATATTAGCTGCGCCAAGAGAGGCGCTCAGGGTGGTGATCAGGAGAGTAATCTCCTGATCACCACCCTGAGCGTGTAATGTGAGGTGTAAACCCATCAACACTGCTGGATGCCATTAAAGAAGAACTAACTGAGATGGGTTTCCGTGTGTCGCCGAATAGTGAATATATTCAAGGAAGATAGAGAACAGCCTGGCACAAAAAATAAAATACCGCTCCCACTATTCTTCGTTGACGTTGACCGTACGCCACAGGTCGAATATATCTACAAGGTCACACGCCTTTATTACACTAGCGTTGTTGTAGAAAAGCCATACACTAAGCGCGACATTGTACAATGCCATAACTATCAGGCTTATGGTCATACGAAACGCTATTGCCACCGCTTTCCTAGATGTGTCAGGTGCGGTGATCAACATAAAACAGAGTAATGCCAGAAGTCCAGAAGAACACCAGCAGTATGCGCTTTATGCCATCAAGGGAACACAGCGAACTACAAGGGTTGCCAAATATATAAAGAACTGAAAGCAAGAATTTATGCAGCTCCAAGAGAAGAACGGCCATCCAGGCCACCAAGACTAACCTTTAGCTATGCTCAGATGTTCAAAGAAGACACTGCACCCACACAAACTCAGACCCTGCCACAAGAACCTCAACCTCGAGTATTCACATCTCAACCTCAAGACCCTCATCCCATCTCTGAACCTAGGCCTAATAACCAGACATTCATTCCTCCTCTTCCCAATGCCACTCAGCACACAAGTCTATTGACTTCTTTCCTCTCTGAATTCAGGTCACTAATCACTCCTCTCATTTCCTTACTTACCAATGTTGTATTCAACCTCATCCCACTGCCGAGAAATCCTTAAATGTCCCCAATCAAATCCCTCTCCGTTCTCCTTTGAAATGCGAATGGTATTCGAAATCACATCAACGAAATAACGATCATATTATAGGACAAAAACATTGGTATAGCATTAATAACTGAAACTCGACTTATCAACAAACGACCACTTAACTTCCCCAACTATCATATCTATCGAACCGACCATCCTGATGGAACAGCACATGCTGGCACTGCCATAATTATCCATCAATCCCTTTCCCATCATCTATTAACTTTGCTAACCCATAATTTCCTACAATCCACTGCCGTGATAATAAAAACTTCCCTTTGCCCAATAACAGTAGTCGCAGCATACTCCCCGCCTAAAATACCCATCTCACAATCCCAATTAACTTAAACCCTTAACTCCTTAGGACACCACTTCCTTCTAGCAGACTTAAATGCTTAACACCAGCAATGTGGAACCAGAACCACGAATTCCCGAGGACGAACATTACTGTCTGCACTTAATTCCCATCACAGCAACATCCTCTCACCCAATTCTCCCACATACTGGCCAACAGATCCTAAGCGCAATCCCGATCTCCTAGATTTTTTCATCCACAAAGGTCTGGGGTCCCTTAATTATTGCATTTCAAGACTTGATGATCTTTCCTCAGACCATAGTCCCCTAATCCTAATGGTCTCCACATCACAAATTCCCAAATCACCTCCACCTTCATTTATCCGGAGGCCAGTTAATTGGAACCTCTTCCGTCGAATACTGGATGATAATATTGGCCTCAGAATTTCCTTAAAACACCTGCAGACCTAGATGAAGCAGTATATTCCATGACTACCTTGATCCAACAAGCAGTTTGACTGCATCTTCACCCGATCCTTCTAAAAAATACCGCAAAATAAATCTTCTACCCCAAGAGCTACTGGACCTTATTAATAGAAAACGATGCTCTAGGACCACCTGGCAAAGAACCAGGCATCCTGATGATCGGAAATCATGTAACTATTATTCCAAGCAGGTAAAACAAAAACTGGCTACGTTTAGATCCCAATCCTATAATTCCTATCTTTCCTCACTATCTGCAAGTGATAACTACCTCTGGAATGTAACTAAAAAAATCCTTAAATTCCAATCCATTTCCCACCCCCTCCGCCGTGATGATGGATCCTGGGCTTCCTCAGATGAGAATAGAGCAGAAGAGTTTGTTAAACATCTATCGTGCACATTCACTCCTCATACTGAACTCCATCCCTCCCACACTGCTGAAGTTAAAGAATTCTCCTCTTCACCGATTCCTCTCTCCTTACCTCCTAAAGCCGTCAACTCCTCTGAGGTCAAATTCCTTTTAAAGAACCTAAAACCTCGCAAATCTCCAGGATACGATCTCCTCACTTCACAAATCGACCGGGTGTGGCACGATGGTTTGCTTTTCAAGCTCAAAACCATTTATCTCAACCCTTGTACCTAGTCCTTAAATCCAACCTTCCAAATCGCTCCTTTCAAGTCCGCTGCGGCACTGAACTATCCAAACATTATCCAATTGAGACTGGTGTTCCACAGGGCAGTGTCTTGGGCCCAGCTCTCCACATCCTTTTCACCGCTGACATCCCTTCAAGTCCTGATACTTTCCTAGCAACATTTGCTGATGATACTGCCATCCTATCCTCTCACTCGGATCCTCTAATAGCGTCCCGGAACCTGCAAAGACACCTCTCCTTCATTGAGCAGTGGTGCAACAACTGGCGCATCAAAATTAATGAATCAAAATGCAAACATGTAACTTTCACTTTTCGACGCAAATCCTGTCCGCCAATCCTTTCTAATTCAATTCCTCTTCCCTACTCAGACACAATCCGATACCTTGGCTTCCTTCTGGACAAAAGACTGACTTGGAACCCACATACGAGACTTAAAAGACAAGAGCTTAACCGACGATTTGGTCAGCTATATAGACTACTAAACAGAACATCTCATCTCTCAACAGAAAACAAATTATTAATCTACAAGACCATACTGAAACCTATCTGGACCTACGGACTTGAACTGTGGGGACAACTAAATCATCGAATATCAAACGCATCCAATCCTTCCAGTCCAAAGTCCTTCGAACAATAGTCAATGCTCCATATTATGTCACGAACAAGACCCTACACCATGACCTTAACATCCCATATGTCCATGACATCATCCCATCCAGATTCTCCAACTTTCACCAGAACCTCATTCATCATCCCAATCCTCTAGCGCAATCCCTATCCAGCTCCGAGCATCCATACCATCCCCCTCGAAGGTTGAAACGGCAGTGGCCTCGAGATCTTTTGTAAATATGCCTTTGGAGTCCTGGCAATGGCCAGCTTCTCCACTCATGTCCTGAGCGTCTGTGGCTCTAGTGCCCTCTTTCAGTCTCCACTGGCTTCTAATACTAGTGATGCGGCTGGAAAAGTGGCACTGGGATCTTCCGGAGTCTTGCTTTGCCTTCCACGTGTGGGGGAAAAAGCCTGGCTCGGAGATTCTTGGGCGAATGTATATATTGTATATAGTTATGATTGTGTTTAGAAGTTTTTATTTTATTTTATTTGTTTATTTTTTTTCTTTTTATTTACCTTCTTCATCAGTATTATTTATTTACTTCTTATATTTATATTTATTTCTTTATTATTTGTATATATTGTATGAATGAGAACTTTTAGCCCTAATGCTTATAGCCCTCCAGCAGTGGCTGATTGTATTATTATTCAATAAATAGATTTAAAAAAAAAAAAGTTTCAGTTTCAACACGAAAAGAACACAAGATATTATCAAATCAAATCTCAAAAATCAATTTTAATTAGCTAATGAAAAATTATTGTAATCTGTGTGATTTATAATAATTGTGAATACAAAAAATAAAAAACGGGACCATATCATCAAGAAATTATATGACTTCATTTAATTAGCTTTTTTAAACTAGTATGCCGGAGGACTGTTATTGTTTTGTGCTTATACTACAAGTTGACTTCATTTGATAGGCCATGTATATTTTCAGTTTTTTTTTTTTGTATTCACATTTGCATTCACTATATTAACTTTTATAGTGTAAATAGTAAATATGTATTATAGTGGATAGATTAATTATTGTTAGAATAGAATAACATTATGAAATTTAAAATTTGACTCCTACCATATCGCGTCACTTACAGAGATCATTTAGGAAAATTCACATAATATGTATTCAAAAATATACTTACTGCGATTTGCCCCCAGTCCATTATTTTTATTATTGACTGGATATCGTTTAGATAAAGTTTTGCTTATAATATTCTTAGAAAAAATCAAGCCGTCCTCAACGTGAGGGTCGTCTGCATGTTCTGAATTTATTGACCCGGAACGAGTATGTTTTGTGTTTGTTCTACGATTCTTTGTTGCTTCTGAAATATGAAAGAATTTTGTTTAATATGGCTAATTAATTCAGTTGGTGACAAAGGTTTTTATCATGATAATGATAATGAATATTTCTCATTAAAGACGTTATTAGTTAGTAAATATTGGGGGAGGAGGGGTAACATTATAGTAGTGTCCGATGCATGGAAGGAAAAGGGAGTGGGGATAGAACGCGATTAATAAAGGATAATAATATTAAACTAATTATTGAACGATAATTAGTTTAATATTATTTTTCAAAAGGTGTTTTTTGTCGGTATGCCATGTCTTTGTTGAATCTCAATCCCATGATCGAGCGATCATTTTGAAGATTATTTTCTCCTTCAGGTGGGAAAAATTAGCACAATCCACAGAAAAAAAAAATATTTAGGTAAGATGATTTTATTTGCGTATGACTCAAAAAGTATGCTATTTAGGATATATAGAGTCTGAGAAGAACAAAGAAACGAAAAAAAAAATATATCATACTAATCAGATCATTTTGAGCAAAGATACAACCAATTGTGTTTTGTACGCACGTTTTGGCTGATAATTTGAAATCAATTGTTGTATTCGACCATCGATAAAAAGACTCCCCCCCCCTCTTATAATACGTTTAATTCACTTATTTACATTTGTTAACTGACCAATATACTATATGAATTATTCACAGAGGCCAATTTTTTATTTTTTTATTTTTTTTTTTTTATCCCTCTACCTGGTCATTTCTGGCATACGGGGTTCGGTGACAGTAGGGTGGTGCTTATATGATTTGCGCATGCCACTACCATCAATAAACTCTTTTGTTATATTTTATATCTCTTTATTTATTTTTACATGCTTTCTGGATTTTTATTTTTGGGAACAATGTTGGGTAATCTGTGGTGCAGCACAGCGTGCGGTAGCATGCCTTATGACGGGACTGCACCTTGTCTCCCTTCCTCTTCTTCATCGGTCTCTTCTTCTACGGCCTCCGGCAGGCGACCTCTCCCAAGGGTGAAATGCTCCGGTCCCACCACCTCCTTCCACCTCCTGACGTACTCAGTGAAGTAGGGGTAGTAGTCCTCGCCCATCAGGCTCGGTAGGTCCGCCTCTTCCATTGCATATAGTCCTGTCATCGTTGACAGCCAGGCTCTATGCCCAGCCATCTTTTCGCACCTCAGGACTACATGCTCCGCCGTGTCCGGAGCCCCACAGGTGGGGTACAAGGGGTGGATGTTCATCCCATGCTTGTTCAGCTTGGCTCTGAAACTCCCGTGCCCCGTACCGTAGGGGCCAACTAATAATATAATCATTATAAACACCGTTTATTGATTGTTTTAATTTATTTTTACGTATTCTGAAATCTTCTCTCTTTTTTTTTCTTCTTTAATTTTTTTTTCTCTTATGATATACGGCATTGTCAGCAAGTGATGTCCAGTAAGATGCCCACTAAGAGAACTCGGTAAGACGGTGTTAGTACCCCTTGTGATTCACCAGGGAAAGAACTCTTCGCTGCCTGGAGAAATAGCTCCAATAACCACAGTGAAAACTTCAGGTCCTGAACCTCACCCTCAACCAGGTACCTCTTTGCAAGAAATGGTTGAAGAATCTCCTTTCTTCACTCCAAACCCGTTCCAAGTGCTTCATAATGACAGAGAAGTAATGGAGTCAGCAGCAATACCCAGGGAACCAAGGCCTCCTCCGATATTTGTAAAAAATATCAAAAATTTCCAACTACTGTGTACATAACTAAACGAAATCTGCTCCGGCAGCTATTCTTGCCTCAACAGGAACAACGATACAAAAATAACACCAGATACTGCAGAAACCTACCGAAAAATTGTGAAGTACCTGTCAGAAACGAATGCAAATTTCCACACGTACCAGCTGAAACAGGAGAGATCGCTACGAATGGTGGTAAGAAATTTACACTCCTCAACCCCAACTGAAGTGATAAAAGAAGAACTAGCAACGCTTGGTTTCAAAGTGCGTCAGGTAACCAATGTTCTGAAGGAGAATAAGGAGCAGCCAGGAGTAAGTAATAAAGTTCCGCTACCTTTATTTTTCGTGGATCTAGAGCCATCACCTGGTATTGAGAAAATATATGATATCAAGAGATTGTAACTAATTAACATCAAACGCCGTGCCAGAATATTATGGAAACGTTCAAGACACCCCACCGATTGCCGCTCTTATAATTATTTCAGTAAACGATTAAAGCAGGAATTTGCCACCTTCAAATCTCAATCCTTCAATTCCTACCTTATCTCCCTTTCTGTTCATGACAATTCTCTATGGAAGATCACCAACAAAATCCTAAAATCCCATCATATTTCCCATTCCCTCCGTCGATGCGATGGCTCCTGGGCAGCGTCTGATGAAGATAAAGCTGAGGAATCCGCAAGACACCACTCCAGAACATTCACCTCTCATCCGGAATCCAACCCCACCCATTCCACAACAGTAGGAGAATTCCTTAAATCACCTATTCCACTTTTCTTGCCCCCTAAAGCAGTTAATCCTTCTGAGATCAAACATCGCTTACAAAAACTTCCTCCCCGTAAATCTCCTGGATAAGACCTCCTTACCTCTCAAATCATTCGACAACTTCCTCCTAAAGCTGTTATATTTCTCACTTATATATACAATACCATCGTTAGAACCACCCACTTTCCTCTTTTGTGGAAACATTCCACTATTATCCTGTTTCCGAAACCAGGCAAATCTCCCAACACCTATACGTCCTACAGACCAATTAGCCTACTTCCAATCCTCTTCAAAATCTTTGAAAAGATCCTCCTGAAACGAATCCTACCTTTTATAGAATCCCAAAATCTTCCTTCCCATCAATTCGGATTTCGTTCACAACACTCCACAGTCCAACAAGGACTCCGAGTGGTCGATCATATTTCCGCAACACTGGAAAGCAAGCAATATTGCTCGGGTGCTTTTCTGGACATATATCAAGCTTTTGACCGGGTATGACACGCCGGGCTTCTTTCCAAGCTGAAAACCTATCTACCCCATCCCTTGTACCTAATCCTCCGCTTCTACCTCTCTGATCCTACCTTTCGGGTTCGCTGTGGTTCAGAATTTTCCAACTCCTACCCAGTTGAAGCCGGTGTTCCTCAAGGTAGCGTCTTGGGCCCGGTCCTTTATATCCTTTTTACCACCGATATCCCTGTCCATCCCAATACCTTCCTGGCAACATTTGCTGATGACACCGCCATCCTATCATCCAACTCAGATCCCGAAAAAGCATCTTTAAATATTCAAAGGCACCTGATTGAGCACTGGTGTAATAAATGGCGCATCAAAGTAAACGAATCCAAATGCAAACACATTACCTTCACACTCCGCCGCAGATCCTGTCCATCAGTCCACTTTAATTCCATCCAGCTTCCTTTTTCAGACACAGTCCGGTATCTTGGCTTTATCTTAGACCGAAGACTAACGTGGAACCCACATACTAGACTTAAAAGACAAGAACTTAACCGACGATACGGCCAATTATACAGACTACTGACCAGAAAATCTCAACTTTCAATTGACAACAAATTACTGATCTACAAGACAATACTGAAACCCATTTGGACCTACGGACTTGAACTTTGGGGGACAGCAAAATTCTCTAACATCAAACGCATCCAATCCTTTAAATCCAAAGTCCTCCGAACAATAGTCGATGCTCCGTTCTATGTAACCAACAAAACCCTACATCATGACCTTAATATCCCATTTGTCCTTGACCTTATCCCTGAAAATTTTTCAAAATTCCATCAGAACCTTATCAATCATCCAAATCCCCTAGCCCAATCCCTATCTAGTTCCACTCATCCCTACAACCCTCCTCGAAGGTTGAAGCGGCAGTGGCCCAGAGATCTTTTATAGTATTTATTTTAGAGTTCTGGCAATGGCCAGATTCTCCACTCAAGACATGAGTGTACGTGGCTAAAGCGCTGTCGCTAAAACTCCACCGGTGTGGCGGTTGAGAGAGTAGCGCAGGGAATTGGATTTCCCGCCTGATTGTATATATTATATATAGGTATGGCTGTATTTTTATGTTTTTAGTTTACTTATATTTAGGTTATTTTATTTTTTTTATTGTATATAGTTTTTATTTATTATTATTTAGTTATTATTTTACTTTTGTTAATTTTATTTCTTTTTTGTATATAAGGTGTGAATGTGTTCATTTATCAATATAATTATTGTCCCTGTGACAGAATATTATATGTCTAATAAATAAATAAAAAAAAAATTATTTAAACTAAATTACTGTAAAACATTGGAGGGTCAGGCCCCCTAAAATATTGAGAAGGAAGAATGTGTCTTTCTTCTCCTCAGTTCCGGAGCCTATGGATATCATTAAATTTGTTAGAGTTCTGGGAATTTGGTGATGATGAAAAAGAAACACAACGAAATTTAAAAACGAACATAACGAACGATTTAAAAACGTAAACAAAACGAAAATTTACTTCTGAATCAATTATAACACTACACAAACTTGCATTAATTAACATACGAAAAAAAAGTTATTAAAAAGGTTACAAACAAAAACAGGTTACAAACAAAAACAGTGTTGCCAGATAGATTTACAATATTGGTGATAGTTATTGTTAATAACCCCCCCCCCTTCTCCTACACATGCGGCGTTGGTCTCAAACACAATTAATTATGCATTTCTAATAGTATTTCCTACGATTTCAGTTTAAAAAAAATAATCAAACTAAATAAGAGACGATTAAATTACTTTTTATTTATACATTTGAAATGTACTTTTATTAAAATTATTTTATTTATTTATATGATATTCACAACTGTATACAAAAAATACATCTAGTAAATTCGCACATGGATATAATGTCATGAAACACATGTTGAGAAACTACCCATTGGTAGCACTCTAATAATATGTCTATGTTAGGAGATCAGTTGGCCATCTTCTTTTTAGACGCCTTACACACGCCTTACAGACGCCAGACGATGAGGGTTATTAAAATTAAAATTTGTCTTCATACTTTGGATTTTTGATTCATTAACATTTATTATTTTAAATAGTTGTTTTCAATTCATAATAATTAACCCATATTTTAAAAGTCGACTATTATGAATGTGTGTGGGCTCCTTTGGGGTACATACTTTGTTATGGCTTGATCAATTTTTGCAAATTCCTTCGCATTCAGAAATATTCACGTTTTTAATCATGAATGAGGACATGTCCTACTAATATTTTTCTGCTATATCTTATGGTAAGGTATAATAACGATAAAGCATACCTTTACCTTTCATTTTTTTGTTTTTGAACAGACGTTGCCGTTCACTCAGTAGATTGTTTATGATCAATCGGATCCATGGCATTCGGACCGGGTCATTGATATGTAATAAATCGGATAGTACTGAAATGAAGAATATTTCGTTTAGTAACATTTCGGAAGAATGTTAGTTTTTCATTTACCTAATAAAGGAGCCTTTCAGTTGACAGAATGAATTAATAACAACAGAATTAATAACTAAATTATTAATTTTAGTGATATTTCTATTTGGAAAATGTATATATTTCAACACTGTAACCACCTACTCTGGAAACAACCTACTCACCGCCTATACATACATTGTAAATTTTCCAACTAGAAATATCACAAATATGATTTTACCCAAAAATGTTGAAATTGTAGTTAGTCATTCTGTCTACTGAAAGGCTCATATATTCTATTTCTGCTGTATTACATCAATTGCTTAATATTGCTAATTTGTTATAACTCAATAGTGGCAGTGTATTGGTTCCAAAATATAGAAGCTTATTTCGTCTAAATACACTGATACAACCTTTAATAACCTTTAATAGGTTGGTTTTGTGAGTGAGCTTACACACATATATATTTTCATACATCGCTACTTAACTTTAGATAAAAGGTTCTCTACTTAAGCGTAATTGTAATCAACAAAGTTATTATTATTACACAAAATTTAGAAATCTTCGAATTTTGTTATTCCAAATCAATAATTTAACATTTGATGTCATTCAATTGTCATTCATTCAAACTTAAATGTCAAATCTATCAAAGTATTGATATTTCTTCTTCATTTCTCGCAGTATTTACCATATTTTTGTCGAGCATTTGACATATGCACTTGTGTATTTGATGATCATTCGAAGTCAGTTACTCAGTGAATTAATTTGAAGTTGATTGCTTGATATAAATAGTGTACATATTACTATTATCTTCAGTTTTTTTTTTTAAATTATATACGGTGTATTTTTTTTAATAATATAGATTGGGTTATTTTTTACAATGATATAAAATTATCTTTTGTTTATGTCAGAAGTAATATTAAAAATGTAGAAATTGATCATGTCTATTGAAAACCTTTTACCCTAGCAACATTTTTTTAATCCGTCATGGTCAGGATTCAAGTTTAAGAGAAAATTTGTCATTTATATGTTTGTCCCCTGAATACATTTAACAAGCCATTGAACAACTGCTTATTGTTTGTAAGTGTTTACAGGACATTCATAAAGATGTAAATTATCTTTTGATTTATTGTTATAAATGACCATCAAGATTTCATGGCAAATCAGATTCTGGTCAATATACAATGTTAATGAAATATGTGTACATTTACATATTTCCATATTTCTTTAAATTTCCATCCAAACTAAATTCGACATTTTGTATTTTTAATACTTTAATCTTCTCAATACCCTAGTTTTAAAACATTAGTAAAGCAGTAAAAGTTTTTTTTAATTTCTTAATGAAATGCATTTATTTTTCTGATCGGTCATTAAATATGAATCGCAATTAATGACAAAACTAATCCCTTACAAGTTGCATTATTCTTTGTAATTCCACTTCTTGAGTAAAATATGTATTTTCATATTAGGAGCGTTATTAAACTTTTCATGAAACTTCTAATATTTTTTTCACTCCTTTTTTTTTTTTATTTTTATTTGAAAATTAATACATTCAGCCGCATTGGAGGGCATTAATATTAGGGCTACATTAAACATTCACACAATATATTCTTACAAATGATAACTAAAATAGAGATAAAAGAAAAATAGTTTAACATACATAGGTAAAAAAAAAAATAAAACAAATAAATAAACCAAGAGAAAAAAAAAATAGAGAAAAAGCTAAATGTAATTGAAATATATAAAACACATTCATACCTATATACAATATTTACATTCGCCCAGATGATTCTAAGTCATGCTTTATCCCCCAAATGTGGAAGCCAAGGTAGGACCCCAGGAGATCCCAGTGCTTCTCTCCCAGCCGCGTCACTGGTATTGCAAGCCAGTGGAGACTGATGAAGGGCACTAGAGCAACAGACGCTCAGGACATGAGTGGAGAATCTGGCCATTGTCAATACACCAATATATACATATTTACAAAAGGTTGCGGGGTCACTGCCGTTTTAACCTCCGGGGAGGATTATAGGGATGGCTGGAGCTAGATAGGATTTGTGCTACAGGATTTGGATGATGAGTGAGTTTCTGGTGAAATTTGGAAAATTTGACTGGGATTATGTCAATAACAAATGGGATATGAAGGTCATTGTGGTGGGTTTTGTTGGATACATAGAAGGGAGCATCGACTATTGTTTGGAGGACTTTATACTGAAAGGATTGAATGCGCTCAAAATGTAAACAACTTCTTAATCAGTATCTGAGTATAAACAAATGACTTGAGCATTTATTCCCTTATCTCTTAGTGTTCTCCTTTTTTACGTAAATATAGACTTTGGCCCCTTTAATTCATACAATATAAACAACCTCTTAGGTCTTCTTAATCCCTATCCAAGTATTATATTTATGGGAAATCTAGCGCTCTTCCCTCCATCCCAACCTTTATAACTCTGCAGTAAACTCCCTGCTTTTTATTATAATATTAATTTTTTACAGGAAGTGTACGTGTTAGTAATAATGTAAACGGCCTCTGGAGATTTCGTATTGGAATATTTTCAAGTAATTTTAGGCACGTAAACACTACACATAATTCAATTACGCAGATAGCGGATGGACTTAGGCCCCTTTAATATTTAAGATATAAACAACCTGGTAGGTCTTCTTAATTCCTATCTAAGTGTAAACAATGGACTTGAGTATTTATTCCCTTATCTCTTATTATTATCCTTTACACGTAAACATAGACTTGGCCCTTTTAATCCTTAAAAGATTGGACGTTTTTGGTCCATTCCTTAAATCATTATCGAACTGTAAACAATGGACTTTTAACATTTGATTCTCTATCTTTTATTTTTTTTCATTTTCCGTTTGGAAGTAGCACTTACAGTAATTCGTAAGGAGTCCGGTAGGATGCGACACTTGTTTCACGATTTTATGAAACTATTGCGAGCCGGAATTCGGTCACGTGATAAGTGCGCCACATTTGCATTAGAATTAAAATATTCTTAGCGCACTCCCGTTTTTGTACTTCAACCTAATCATGAACACCCAACCACATCCCCGTTGTAGCCACATGAGCATTAGGTCACACTCCCTCATATTTCTACCTAGCAGATACAGCACCAGCTCCGATGTTTTGTTCCGGTTGGAGATTTCTCTGTCATGTTTACATTTTTATAAACTTCCCGATGTTTACTAAACCCATCTAATGTCTGCATAACCTTCTCAATATTTATATTATATTTAATTTTCTCTAATATTTGCATTTTATATTTGTTAGGGTGAAGCACTTATTATATTTTTGTAAGTGTTGCTAGAGTACGGTAGTATATATTAGTAATATAAATCCATTTGAGAATATAAATTACATTTTATGTAATATTCCTAATGTTTTGAAGGGCCAGGTATTGACACTATAGTCTCCCGACTCCACATGTTTTATGAGCTGTAATATTTACTATTAATGGAATCCATCTTCCAATCCATTGAAGGGACAGTTACCCACCTTGTGGATGCTGAGTATTTCCAAAAGTCTAATAAACATTTTCAGCCATATAACCATTTTCAGCTAATAAACATTAGCAGCCATCTTGTTTACTTAACCATTACGTGTATCTTCCAATCCTTTGATTGATCAGCTACCTATTTCAGTAGTTAACTTTATACTGACTGAGTGTGCCTTACAAGAGTCTTCCGACTTATAGCTCCTCCAAACCGTTGAAGGCTAACGTATCTACGCTATAAAGACTGAACTTGCCCAACTCCCGAATCCAAACATTTTATTTGACATATCTAATGTTTATGTATTGCACAACTTAAAGTTCCTCCCAGCTAGTTCCTCCGAATATTTACATTTCACAAAACTTAAAGTTCCTTCTGGCTATGCCCGATGGTCTCGCTGATCAAAGTTCCAAAAAGAATCCTTATTGATGTGAAAATATGGATTTTGATCTTTTAATAATCTCACACAGAATTCTCGTCAATGTGTAAATGTGAACTTTGAAATTATGCAAATCTCACAGTCTTTATCGGTATGTGAATATGGACTTTGGATGTTTCATCCCTTATCTCTAATTGTTCACCTTCGTACATAGACATGGACCTTGACACTGTAATCCTTAAAATAGAGAAAACCTCTTAGGTCTTCTTAATCTCTATCTGAGTATAAACAATGGACTGTGGAGCTGTAATCTCTTATTGTTCTCCTTAACACGTAAACATGGACTTTGTCTTGAAGCTTTTCCTCATCCAGTGTTCCTAAAAGTAAGGTGGTTGTGTATTTCATTAAATACTTATTTTATAATATCAGCAATGAACACATGTCAGTATGGCGATAAACAATTTAGTAGGAAGATGCCTAAACTTCGTCATGAAAATTCATGTCAGACTACGCTACCAAGGCGCAAATGCGTTTACTGCGGTGAGATTTTTCAATCTCAAAAACAGTGTATGAAACATGTACGTTGTTGCCAAAAAAAACACCACTCGTTATGACGAAGCGAAGGCGGTTGGAGGCGGCAGTAGGACCTTTGAATGAGATCGAGACAGCTTTTGGAGGGGATCTCAAGACTTTTTTCTTTCCATGTTATGAATCCATTGATGCAGCGGAATTTCTTAGCAGTAAGACAGACACTCTACGTAGACTGATATCAGAAGTTTTGTCGGAATCGGAGGCTCCTCTCAAATTCAATATGATTTTGGAGGCCACATACGAAAATGTTAAAGGAGAAACGTGTGATCGGGCCTTCAAAACCAAAAACATTACGGTGTACGAGGTCTCTTCAATTTTGGATTCTCTTAGTGAGACGTATGTGAAGATGGTGAGTGAGATGGAAGAGATGGCAATAAAGGGAAGTGGCTGGTCATTAAAAAATCTAGATGGGCCCCTCTTGAAATTCAACCGATTTAGACCTTTATAGACGTTTGCTGCTTTAAATGTAATAAATAAAAGTCATAATTATGTTTAAACATTTTTTTTTGCCCTTT